TTAATAAAACATTACCATAAAACTCGAGGGCGTCGTTAATTTTCAAGCCATTGAACTGTTGTTTATAGCTGAACGAGATCCACCACAATAAACTGTGTGCCTATAAAGAGTGTCATAAATGCCACCTGTAAAACCTCTGAAAGTCAGTAATGAAAAAACATTAATTAATTATAACTTATTTTATATTAACTAACTTTCTTAACCTATTTAACTTATACCTACTAACAGAATAGTTAATATAATTTAAATATTATATCTTTTACCCGCGACTTCATCCATCACGAGACCAAAATATTATTGATTGACTTCGTCTGTGTTATCGACAAAAATAATTACTAAAATGGTTCTTTTTTTTTGTAATCGCAATTGTTTATTCACGTATTGATTTCATATAAATTATGTCACGTTAAAAGTTTCATTTCATTTTTTTTTTTAGTTTATTTACTTTAATAATGTTCGTGATGACAAGAATATAAGAATTTTATAAATTATTATTTCCCTATTTGTTTTATAAGTACTACATAATTTAGATAACACATGAATATTATTGCTTTGTACCTATGCTTGTATTTCAATAATAACAACCTCATGTAGTTTATACAACGTCAGGTGTGTCTCCTCTCATGGATGATAGTAAAATAACTTCTGTATATGAAATGGGGCTCACAACTTGGAGCCTACCCTAATTAATTTTGGTACTTGCTTATCATGTTATATAAATCCATTAACCGACAGTACTCATTAATATTAAATTATTGAGATATCGTTTAAACGTTTTCTGTTGTGTTATTAACTTTATATAATATTGCAAATGTTACTTACATTACACACATATATTTATTACATATATATCCACATTCTGTATTCATTTATACAGGTAAACAAAACGAATCGAGGAATGTATTATATACCCTTTGTTACATTCTATTTTATATGTCCCATATTTTTATTGATCTACACGGTCCGTAAAATGATTCTCTTTTAACATTATACTCGTAAATATGAAAGTGAGTCAGTGAGGCACTGACATACTGACTCATTGACTGACTGACTGACAATAATACAACAAATTTTCATAAAATTCACTATTTGGTATATGCGTAGTACATAGAAATAGACGCGGTTATTTTTCTATTCTACGCAACATACAAAATATACAAAACATAAAAATAATGCTTATAAAATTGCGATTATAGAATTTTATTGCCATAAAACACCTTACTAATATTATAAATGTGTAAGTGAGATTGTTTGTTACCTCTTAGTACCTTGACGGCTTAACCAATCCCTATTAATGTACTCATATTATACTCGTACTAAATGAGAAGAAAAGGAAATGGGCTACTTTTATCCCGGTCAGTGAAAATATTGTTTTTTTTTTAATAACATAGAAGATATTCGAGCATGCGACCTATATGATAGTAAGTATTTACTACAGCCTATAGACACCTACAAAACCAAAGAAATTACAGATGTATTACTGGTCTTTTAGAAAGTAATATGCTTTTTTCTTGAACATATTACCAATCACACGAACGAAGAAGCGGGTAAAAAAATAATAATCTAAATATAACAAAGATTTAAAACTATCTAAGCATGGCTAATAACATTTCCTACTTTACTGAAGTACTCGTGTGGCTTGCTTTACGTACTTACGCTGTTATCTCACGACAGCAGAAACAGTAAAATGAAACAGTGTTAGTGATGGTTTATGTTGGGTATCTACTAAGTACACACTATTATAATTGCTATAATTTTAGCAATATATTATATTTATTTATTATTCATTGCTAAAACACGATCGAACTTTCCCATATTTAACCACCAAAATCTCCTAAATGTCTGAACCTCTCGCGTCCATTTACTCCTTGTACGTATCTTAGTTTTATATGTTCGAATATATTAACCATATCTATATATATAAAAATTAATGCCACTTTTCGTTGTAATTTTATAACTCAAGAACGGGCTCACCTATCCAAACCAAATGTTTAGGCTTTGTTCGGACTATTTAGTAGATGGTTTATGCACAAAATCGGTCGAGCGTTTCTTCATTTATCACATTTTTTGTAACAAATGAATTCGGATATAAAATAATTTAGAAAGTAAATTTTTTTTTATCTGAAAGGATATATTTTCAGATTTCTGTTATAGAAATTTTAACAAAATCGTTTCAATAATTTAGTTTTTAATCAAAATACTGCAATTGAAGTCGGGTTATTTTAATGAAATACAATCTTAAATTATTTGTACGAGTATAGCTATGCTACACCTCTACTGCTTCTGAGTCATTTTATAATATTTTAGATAATTATTTTTAAAATCGTTACGCTTACAACTTATTCCTATATAGTTTTTTTTTATTTTGTCGCAATGAAAGGCGATTATTTATGGATAATCTTAATTTATATGGTATAATAATACACAATCCAAAAATCTGATCTAAAAAGACTGCATCTTATACCCACAGTAAATGATTAATAAATATTCAAACATTTTATAAATATTCAAATTTATGTTATAATATTAGGTGCATAATAAGTAAACAACACGATATTAGTTTTCTTTGTATACTTATATACGAGTATAATACGAATATTGCGTTATCGATTGACAATATTAATATGTAATATCAGTGAAAGAATGTGACTAAAGAAAATAGTAAATGTATTTACAGTCTTATTAAGTTACTAGCTTTTGGCCGCGACTTCGTATGCATGGGTTTTGAATGTTAAAAACCAATTTAACAGACCACTTCTTAATGGCCTATTAAAACAAACGAGTATGTCAAATATTAATTCGATCTTCAGAAACACAAATGTAAAAAAATCTTTTTTTCCGAAATCAACATTACTTTTATTATATATAAGTTTATAAAACAAACAAAATACAATATTGTCCTTAAAAATAGGTAACATAACAATAATTATTTTGATTATTATGTTATACCTACTCCACCTTAATTGGAACTTGTAATTAAATTACATTCAAATCACAAATAATTAAGTCGTGGTGTAGGCGTTTAGAATGTAAGGATATGTTGAAAGTGGTAATCAAAGGTTTTTCAACCTGTATAATATATTTAATTAATGCATTTCATGTTAATTTTATAATAAAATATTAGACGAGGGAAAAGGGAATTCTATTGATCATTTCTGATCATATACTAATGACGAGAAAAAGGTCGAATTAGAGTTTTATTGTCAACAAACTTATATTATTAGTAACAATTTTTTTATGGTTTGCAGTACAGTATTTAAGGCATCCTTTCCTTGATATTGGATTCGAGTGACGGAATATCTATAGAAGAGGTTACATGATGTATTCACTAGTAATTTAGGTCCCATATTAGTAAGGATCAAGATACATAAAGCATAAAAAGTGCCCCAATAATAAAGTGAATCGATACGTACTTATTTGTCTAAGAAAATATGATGTTAGTTTAAAATTAATCATTTTTATAATACATTAAACTATTACACAAAGTATTTCGATTCTCCCAAATTACTCTAAGAAATAACTAGAGCTATGATAGACGGAACAAAGGGTCAAGCGAAAACGGCTCGAGTTCCCAATGCTACTATTGTAAATTGGAAAGTTTGTAAAGATTTGGTTTGCTGGAACAAATCTCTTTTAAAGATAAGCTCGCCTTGTGTACTTATATTTAATTATTATTCTGATACAATACCTTTTTTGTGTACAATAAAGAGTAAAAAAAAGAATAAAGCTTACGGACTTTTATTACACTTTCATGCAAAAACTATTGAACGGACTTGAATGAAAATTGACACATAGATAGGTTTTTTTACTACCTTAATTAATTTAACTTGATATATATGATACTTTATATACTTATTAATGTGGGCTAAGCCGCGAGATATGGCTAATCTACTATAATTATAATGAATCTAGAAATTCTAACAAAAATTAATATTCCCATGAAATCGCTTCTTTACATTTAATATGAACCCAAAATAATCTTCATACATCAATTGCCGTATGATTTTACTAATACGTTAATGGTAGTATCAACATAATTATTAAGAAGTACTTATTACGGCCAATTACCACAATATATTCAATTTTCGTAATTACATTAGGATTTTATAAATAGGTTCTCAATATTAAGCCTCAATCTAATTTAGGAAAATATTTGTGGCTTTATTTAAATAATGTATCAAATATATGTTCTCGTACATGTTCTTTTCTAATTATAAAACATGACTATACAATTTCTTTCTCTCTTTCACTTTTAGACTTAGATATTCCCAACATGTTACATAATCTTATTATGTAATAAATAAATACAATAACAATTAATTATGTCACCTATTTATTATCATTGTAAAAATATATGCAAAGGGTTTTATTTAAAATTTGATGAAACTCTAATTACAAATATATCGGAATTCTATAATATAAGATGATTATATTAAACTTAAGGACATCAATAAAAATATTCACCATATCTGTGAGCAATAAGAAATATTGTTGACAACTCACGTTATTTATTTAGGTACCATTCTATAAATCTTCCTCTAAAACTAAAATATCTTTTTGATATCGTAAGAAAATCATGATGAGTTCATGATGCCCATAATTATATATGTTAAACGACCATAATTTATAATTTTCGTTTTAAAAATACTTTTAAAGAATAACGCTCCAAATCACCCATTGTTGTCTTTTTACAATACTTCATTAAAAAAAAGTTACAGTGACCAAACATAGTAGTCATCCTACAATATTTGTTCATTGAAATATTTTTTTCATTATTACATACAAGGTTTGTAAGACAATGGTAGAATTAAACCGTATCACTCACCACCCACGACAACTCAAAACCTTCAAAGTTGCTAACGATGCATTGAATAAGTGAATTGTCCTTATTTACGAGTACCTACTATTTGTCTAATAAATTAGACACCCTATATTATTTTATGCAAGACATGTGACTGAAATTTTTGTGTAGTATTAACAGAGTCCTTTTTTGTCTACAGCCACGGCGAAGACCTGATCGTGACGCCGTTCGCGCAGGTGCTGGCCAGTCTGCGTAGCGTTCGCAACAACTTCTTATGTCTTACCAATGTACCTGTCGCCAAGTAAGTATAGAATTAAGTAACATTTTAAATCTGCCACAATTCCCCCACAAACATAATACAGTTCTACAGTTCTTTACTTCTGGAGCCGTCTCAATTTAAAGGGAGCATTAAGCTTTGAACACATGGAGAAATTTTTAAACATGACACGATTGCAGAGCTAAGTGTATCTAGGATATCTAAGGAATAAGTAAATGTAAATAGGAAATTACAGTATTATTATGTGCAGATGGTTGCGTACCACACAACAGCGATACCGTAACATCAAAATAAATATTGATGAATACTGCTCCGTGAATTTTTAACCTTAGAATATATTGCTTTATTATATAATTATTTTATTGCAACAATCATCACTTTATTGTTATGAACTATTTCTTATTAATAAAATAATTAATCATACTTAACCATACCTTTCTAGCACTGAATAAAAACAACACTAAAATAATATTGTAATAAAAATAAATTTTTGAATTAAAATGACACATGAAATATATATATAAAAAAAAAACAAACTAACAAAAATATAATTAGAATATTACGATTTCTTTAATTCAGTAACCAAATTAAGCATAATTTAAATATCCATAATATAAAATTTGATAATTTTAATTTAGACCAATTTGATCAAACCACAAATTAATTACTATATATGTAATAAATCCCTAAATCAAATGCCCGTTTCAATTCTTTATTAATTCAAAGTCATTAAAATATTGTATGCTTGTTTACTTTACCTCACCTTACCTTACCTCAGTGGTATATAATAAAAGGTCAGTCTTCTCCCTTCATGGAATTATTTCAAATATATTTAATTTTGAATAACATCGTTATGGAATAATTACTTAAAGCCGCAATGGCTATATAATTCATAACGGAATTATTAAATTATATAAATGAAATGGAAAATTTAACAACCAATCTCTTTATCCGTTATAACTACACAAAGAATTTTATTCTACAGCCTTTGTATCAACGTATACATTGTCACATTTACTTATTGCGACATGAAATAAAATAAAAACATTTCTTCCCAGTATAAGTAAACTGTTTTAGTTTCGCAACAGTGTTGGTTCAGCTTTTGTCTTTGTGACAAAGATTTTACTCATCTACAACCAAAAAGATTGCATTTAACAGATTTTACTTTGTGCATACAAATACAATTATTTTGTAAAATGATATATAAAAATATATTGTTATCGACATCAAATTATTTTAAAAATAAATACACAATAGACTGGTACACTACTAAAACCGATATATTTATTTCATTTTTTGCTTTTGGGGTTTCCTAATAGTTTATATCGTTAAATTCCAATTCTTTGAGATAGCTAAATACCTGTCTTCGAAATTGAATACATAATTATATATTGTAGTGTATTTTAGTACAGTTTTTAACCACTTATTAAATAAGTTAAAAAAGGGTTCTAAATTCGACAGTATTATTAAGTTACGCAATATCTTTACTAAGTACAACTGTTTTTTTTTAATGTTTTTTGGTTATATTAAACAAGTTTAATTAAAAAACTTTAATTTCACTTGGTAAAATTAATGTTTTTTATTTATACTTACTATATTTCAAATGGTGAAATATCTGTGTTATATAAAATATTTGTTCATTTTATAAGATTACTACGTACGGAAACAGTTACGTGCATGCAATCGTTTATCTATTGGTGTAATTCTCTGATAAATGACTCCACTAACGATACGTGAAACTAGGTACGTCATATGCGCGTGAGCATATAGAAGGTCACGAATCATCGATGTATGATCAATGGATGCGTTAATCAACTGAGCACAGTTACTCCGTACTTATAATACTTTCGTTATCAAATAATTATAGGTATATTAAAACACCATAAATTTTTAAATTGAAATATATTTCCAAATAATTTAAGCATATAATATTTTTAAGTACACAATTATTTATACTTGTAAAAATAATCATAATCTGTATACATAGAATGAATAAAATTACTATGAGTCTAATAGTCTAATAAATAAATAATAACACATTAATGTATTAACTTTCTATTTCTATTAATAATAAATCACTCGTATTTATATATACTTGTAAGTGTATAGTTTCTGCATATAATTAATATATAAATTTTAACTATATAGAAAGTATCTGTATTATTATTTTAAATATGGTCCATCGGTGTAAATTCCATACAAATCCATCCAGTCGTTGAGCGTAATTGAATTAAAAAGATCTAACTAAATATCTGAATATTTTTACAACTACCACAAGTCTAGTGTTTATGTTATGTCCAAATATTTAAAGGATAAACAAACAAATTCATTGTACATTATTACATTTTGTATCTGACTAAACCCATTTTCGTGGAAATATCCAACACAAAAAATATTACGCTTTATGTTACTTATGTTATGTCGTAATTTCCTAGTAGTCAAAAATTTTTTAGAATCAATTCAGAAATTCCAAAACTTTTTCAATTAAACTGAAACACCTATATCTTAGTTTCATACCAGTCTACTTACAAACCCTTTTTGAAATAATTTTTAATTTTCATTCTCCAAAATTAAGTATGAATCTTAAAAAAACATTTCTATCCTTCGTCTCTTAGTGTAGATTTCATTTTCATAATTTTGAAATTTCATCTAAGCAATAGTGAGTAAGAAAACATTATCGCTTTATAATATTTATCTAGATTAGCATTGATTAGAGCACAGTCACAACTAACGTATTCATAAAGTATTCATAACTCCATGATTCACTAGTGACGTCAGGTCCACGTGGCTGATGACAAAGTGGAGCACGCGACTTGTGACTCAAGCTTGTAGCGTGTGTTAACAATCCGCAATTCAAGCAATCCGCCCATACATTTGGAAATATTCCTGTTGTATTAGATACATATAAAATACCTAAATTCTATTTAAAACTGTATTACAAAAAAAAAATTCAGGGGAGTTTATAGATACAAATATAAACATTAAAGGATAGAAAAATATGATAAGTAATTCTATTTATAAACGTCCGCTTCTAGAAACTATGAACATATTTTATTCCCAGGATGTAAAAATATTCTAAAAAAATCTTTACCGTTACCCAGATATTTCACTTATTAGCGCTCTAAACTATATATCAAGTACGCGTAATAAACTCAAATTAAAATTATCATATCTATAATTAAGTACATAAAAATTATGAACGGACTTCTAACCAGAGGGAGACTTTGTACAAAAGCCGATTGCTTGGGTACCTCTGTCCCATTCGTGTTTCAACCGTGAAGCAATTGTGTTCGCATGGCTGTGTTTCGATTTGAAGGGTGGGATATGGCGTGAATTTACTGGGTACAGAGGAATAACATCTAAGTCCTTAGGAATGGCAACGCATGGGGGGTATCATGGGCAAAACAGTATACTCTGTTATGTCGATGGTACTGTTCATGTCTATAGGCGACGGTTACCACTTTCCATCAGGTGGGCCGTCAGCTTGTTTGCCATTCTAAGTTGAATAAAAAAAAAAAAGAATAATAATTACATCATCCTCATTTTTTTGCCTCGTCATCATTATAAATCAATTTTGATGATTTTTAAAAAGTATATGAATCACTAGAAATGTTGTTTAATAATTCACACAACATTTTTAGTCATTTTAAACAATAAATCTGCCTTTGCCTATTATTACTTGATAGAAATCTAATTTACAAAATTACAAATTCAATGTACATATATGTAGATAACTAGATAGACATCGAAATGCTAACCAATGAAAAGGTTACCCTTGACGTCAATTACTCGATAAAGTTCATAATTTATTCATTATATAGAAATGTAGAAATAAAGTAAGAAACAGAGTGGCATGAAATAAAATGAAAAATGTTTTCACCAGTTGATGTCGTCTTTAAAGGAATATGAAAGTACTCTCGACTCTACGGGGACGAATAGAAACTCGTGCCTTTGAAATCTCTAGTACGCTATATTTTTTTTCTACGTTCACGTTATTCGTCTATAGATATGCAAGTTGGTACTTACGCGAAGCTATGTTACGTAGTCTCCGCAATCTGTTTTGTATCGACTATCAACATTTGTTTAACTTTTCGTTAATGCGACTCTCAGATTCAATATACATTTCCTCATATACAAATGTCTACTAAATCTTAATACAATATGATGATTTTTTAGACTATATATGAATCGAGTAGATTATTAGTAGTATTTTACTTTCTGTAATCTCAACTTAATTTGCAATTTTAATTGGCCTAATTCAATAGTACATATAATCAAATAAAAGATATAAAAAAAGATAGTGTTTATTGCAAAATAATGTTTATAAATCAACATGTTATAAATATTGACGTCGGTCCTATATTTTAATTACCCAGTAAAAAATTATTTATTTTATACTTATAAGATACCGATGTGGTAAATATGAAAGATAAGAGCTAAAAGTAAATAAGTCTTAATGTTATATAAATATTTTTCTTCGTACTTAGTAAGAAAAAATATTTGTTCTTATATTGAAAGTAACTATCAACGTAATATAGACAATTTATAATTTACCAGAGAGAGAATTTGTACAAAAGTCGTTTGCTTGGGTACCACTGTCCCATTCGTGTTTCAACCGTGAAGCAGTTGTGTTTGCATGGCTGTGTTTTAGTTTGAAGGGTGGGATATGGCAGTGAATTTACAGGTTACAAAGGAAAAACACCAGAGTCCTTAGGAAAAGCAACGCATGAGGGAGCGAACCAGTATACTCTGTTATGTCCATAGTACTGTTTATGTCTATAGGCGACAGTTACTATTTGTCATCAGGTGGGCCATCAGCTTATTTATCATTCTAAGTTTTATAAAAAAAAGACAATTTTAGACGTATAAAAATTTGTTTCGCACATTTGAATCTTCATCACAAATTCAATGTTACCACGTCTAAAAAATATTTATATGATTTTAAATATCCGGAATATCGTATAAAAAAATATTCATATATAATATATAGAATATTATTCTGTTATTTTTAACTAAATTTATAT